ATGAACTAGGGCTGCACGATATTGGTAAAAAATCACATTGCGATATTTAATTTTTCTGCGATATATATTGCGATATAAAAACAATTTCACCAGATTACTTAAATAGCTCTATTTGGAAAGAATGAATAATTCTAGAATGACTTGGGTGGTTTTGTCATGGAGTAAATCTGCATAGAAACTAATATTAATAGTATGTTAACTAATGTAGTTAACTAGACTTTAATAAATGGAACCTTATTGTAAAGTGTTTCTGATTTATGTCTCTTGAGTTCAGTGTTGGACAGATCAGTTGTTTTAACCATTCATTAAAGTGAATCGGTTCAAATGAGTCATTAGTTCGCGAATCGGACGTTTCATTAACGGACCACATCGCACAAGATTTGTCAACACAGAAAACATTTCATCACTGGATGAAATCCATCACTGAGTCAACTCAACTCAATTCATTAATATGCGCGAGGGAGGGAGAGCGAGAAAGACAGTTTGAAGACGGTGAGAGTGCGCGCGCGCGACCGGGGCTTTCACTCTCTCTGCTCGCTCTCTCAGTTAAACAAGCGCAGCAGTCAGTCTTTACATCAGTCACCGGTCAAACTTTGGCGGGACAAAAATACGCTTTAGAGGCTGACAGAAAACAGCGCGCAAGTTCCAGTCTTCTTGCGCTTTATGTTTAAACTGACAGGACTTGCAAATTGATAAACTCTCACACTATGATGGTTGAACTTTGCAATTAATCCACGAATCACAAGCGTTACGGGCCGGAGAGCTGCTGGCACGTTGCCTACTGATCATGAATCACCATCAACTACGATCCATACTTGACATCGTACATATCTGCGATGTGACTATCGTGGATGCGCACATCGCGATATCGATGTTAAAATGATACATCGTGCAGCCCTATTATGAACTTGTTTAACATTCAATACACATGCATGAAGTTCAAAACAAGCAGTTAAATGTCTATAATAGCCTAATAGTATCAATATGTTGCATGACTACAGTCCTGTAATTCAGGTAACAGCTGGAAAAAACAAAAACACTTATCTAAATCTCGAAAATCGGATCAGATCGGATCGAATCGAATAATGATAATCGATTCAAGATCTTGAGAATCGGAATCGAATCGATTTTTGAAATTTGAATCGAAACCCAGCTCTAATGTTGACTGTGTCCGAGTGAGTGGAGGGGGCGTGGCTTAGCCATAGGTAAATTCCCCTGGCTGGCCACTGTTTGTCGCCATTTTGTCAGCGTTTGTTACCCGCCCGGTATCCAGAGTAGTCACGTGACTGCAAAGTGTGAATTGGGGTTTTGTTTATTAATGAAGCCTCAGCCTTCAAATAAAAAGAAAAATATACAATGCCAACATGTTACATCTGCATTAAAAATAAAATACAAATAATGAAATGTCATTGGCTACAGAAACCCCAAATTACACAAACTTGTGATTATAAAACATATAGTTACTACCAGGGGTCTCCAACCTTTTTGTGTGTGAGGGCTACCTCAAGGGATAAAATAATCTAGAAGGGCTATACTCAAAAATATTATACGTATAACATGGTGGTGCTTTTTTATCTTACCTTTACTTTTAACTTTAAAGGAGCTGTATGCAAGAAATTTATTTCAATTAATCATAAATCTTCCCTGATATGTCACTAGACATTAAGAAATCATGTTCATTTCAAATACTTATATCACTGACAACAGCAGTCCGGCCAGGATATTGTCATTTAAAAAGTGAAGTTGCAGCCCTCAACTGGTGTTGATGTTGTCATGTTGTGTTTTGTTCTGATGCGCCACCCTCCACCTATCTACCAATCACGGAGTCAGTAGTGTTGCGGCATTCGGGTTGCCAGCTCTTCTCTGGTGGAGGGGATACACCGCTCTACAGTAATTTGAAAGTCATTGCAGTACCAGTTTTGGTCACAATCTTGCCTATGGCTCCTTTAACTTTTTTACTTTTCACCATCATATGCGAAATAATAAAATATCTTGATATTCTGGTTCAGATTTACATGCGTTAATAAAAAAATCAACAATTCCTGAAAATTTTGGAAAATATATATTGCTTTTTTTTTCTTTTCTTTTTTTCTATAAACCTATTGTATGTGTTATCAAAAACAGTAGCCCAAACATTTAGTATAAATATAAATGCAAAATAAATAAATAAACTGCCTAAACTTCTAAACAAAAACATTACTGCATTACATTTATAGGCCTACATGACTATTAATAAAAGCATTTTTAATAAGAATATGTACAGGCACATTTCTGCTGGTTTGTTCTTGGAACAATGTTTCGCCTGACTTTTGCGTCGATATGTTGAGAATATCAGCGCTGTTTCATCTGGCTTTTAACTAGCTTAAATCACACAGTCATCTGTGGGTTTATAATAGAGATAGAGAATTCTGCGCTGAATTGAAATGCTTCCCAGTATATCGCGCAGTTCTGTGTAATAATTAGGGGTGTCACGATTCTCCAAATCCTCGATTCGATTACATTTTCGATTCTAAGGTCACTGTAAAAAAGGCCATGGTTAAGTCACATTTATTTTATTATTATAGTTGTATATTGTTCTATTCAAGTGTTGCGTCTGCCGAGTAGGCGGAGTTTAATCGGAAGTCTCGCGAGTTCGGCGAAAATGATGTGAGAGCAGATATACGTGATGGAGGAAAGAAGGAAGAAATGTGGTGCGCGACGAGTTGTATTGAGTAAATGCAGCAAGGTGCATAAATAAGGCCAAAAAGTTATAGATCGACAATATAGCTAGTGAGCAGTTTGGTATTTCATATGTGATGGGCGGCTGATGTTGTGTGATCGCTTCTGAGGTTGTTGGATTTCTGTGGTGAATACTCGCGCGTGCGTCATTGCAGACTAACCACACACGTTTATATCTACATTTGTCCAGCTGACCATATCACATAAACCCATCATACGAACACACACTGAACATCACAGCGCACGAAGATACAGGCCCTTTTGAACATCATCATATTAACCCTATCAGGACCAGATGGCATCGCGTCTGAGGACCGACGTTTCTGCACCCTTCTTCAAGTGGACTTCCTCTGGAATACTTGGGACTTCTTAACTGAGTACACTTACTTATTATCACCACTTCGTTGCCCTCTCTTGATATAGTTGTATCTTTTTTAATATAAACCATTGTTTTTATTGTTTGTTTATTTTTACGTAGGCCTACGCTGATTAATGTGATATTTACATTTTGTTGACATTGTGAGAAAATGTATCAATCAATACAGTGAGTGAATTTGATCTTTGGCTCTGGTTTTTTACTCCTCTCCTAGTTACTGGACATTAATTGTGTATTAATACTCTAAGGTGATTTAGAACCGTAATAGCAATCAGTGCATTCTACAGCCTTCAATACAGTCACGGTTCGATTCGATTCTCGATTTTTATCAATCGGCCAATCAGGATGCTCTCTGTCTTACATGCGCTTCATGAGGCACACACGCAAGGTCTCTCGCTCTCTCCCTCTCTGCCGTGCGCGCAATACGGTTTGGAGCAGTTTTTTTTATCTCGCATGCGCGCTCTTGCTCGCTCACTCTAGATTCCGGGAGATTTGAACTAATTTGCGGGCATCAGGGAGCCGCTATCAAAATGCGGGAGACTCCCAGGAACATCCGTGAGACTTGGGATGTCTGCAAACTGTGGCTTTTTTGAAGCGCGAACGTTGTCAACATAACTCACTGGAAATCCAAAAAACTTCCACACCTGCGACTTCAGTGAAAGAGGAGGGGCTTCAAGTTATGTCGATGGTTCTCCTGCATCTGCAGTTGACATGCTATAATGACTGTAGCTAAGTTAGAGGAGGTTGACCATAGACTCGCAGCACTTCGACACGCGTGTTTTTTTCCGCTTGGCAAGCCGAACGGACTTGACATGGGGGAGTGGCAGCATCGACAATTCCATTTTTTAATTCGAAGTTCGAGATTGTGAATTAATTTTGATCGATTTCAATTTAAAATCGAAATCGTGACACCCTTAGTAATAATGTTCGCCTGATCGAGATCAGCCCGCACAGCTGCTTTGGCCGCGATCGCTGTTTTTTGGGCCGAGCTGATAATGCTCTGCGCTGCAAAGATCAAACAAGTTTTGTTCCGCTTTTTTAGCGAAAAGTGTAGTATAGGTACGCCTTATAAAACTAACTTTCTGTCAGTGGCTAGTAGGCCGACTCTTCTTCATCAGTTTTTTTTTTACATCTACCATATAAGTGGTTGAATTAGTGCCCCTGCTGTCACCTGTTCATTTTCCTTTATTAGACTTTTTTTGTTTGTGCCGACAGCCCTCAGTTGGACGGCCGTTCTGGACTTTTCCCGAACGCACAGATTGTCAGTCCGTCCCTGCGTCGGAACCATGGTATATTTTGTTTAAGACCAATGATATTGGACCCACTCACTTTTACCGTCTCTAATTCAGCATATATCTGTTCGCTAGGGGTGGAACGGGACGTATTCGGATTGAACCGAAACGCTACGAGCGTCACGGGTCGGTGCATGAATTTACACGGAGAATACACAGTAAAAATATATATAAAACTTGCGTGCAGATTAATTTAATGCGAAACTACTGTTAGATAGGCGGGTTCTTTAGGGACACATAATCTGTAGCCCCACTAGTATGCAGTTTTTTGTCAGGTCGACGGTCCAGTGAGTGAGTCAGAGATAGCAGCACTATGGACGAGTATGGCGAGTGGTGGCGACCCACACGAGTTAGAGGACCGGCCAGCCTTAAATCGGCCTTAGTTACAATTAATTAAACCAAACAAGCTTCATGGTTACTCACTTGCGCGCGCACTATCTCTCTTTCTCTTGCTCTGGTTAATTCATAAAAAATTAAGTATGATTAAATATGAGTGATTGTAAGTGTGATGATCATCTGCTAAATGAGCAACAATGACCACAATTCACTCCTTCAGTCAGTGAAGCTCCCACAGCCGTTCATGAGAGTTTAAATGCTGGGGAATAATCATATCTTCCCACAGGAGAAGAAGAAGCAAGCAGGAGGAATTACTCCAGGAGAAACTACGGACATACTATTGTAAAGATGGAGATTAAGGAAGAACCCTGCAGAATAAAAGATGAAGAAACAGAGGAACAAATAGGTTGGTGTTTTCCTTCATTCTCTTTAATGACTGATGAGGAACATTAAGATGAAAACTGAAAAAAGACCAAATGTTTTGCTTAATTATGACTCGCATAGTATATTTATTGTGTTTCTCATTTTTCCATCTTTATTTGAATTTTGAAAATTTGATATGTTGATTTTAGACCCGATGGAAGTGAATAAAGACAAACAACATGAGTTTCAAAAACCTCAGCATTTCAAAAATGAAGATGGAAACACAGTCATTCAACAGACCGAAAAGTGTTTCACACAAAAACGAGCTCGAAAAACTGGACAAGGATCTTTCACCTGCTCTGAGTGTGGAAAGACTTGCACACAAAAATCAGGCCTTGAGAAACACATGAGAATTCACACTGGAGAAAAGCCTTATACATGCTCTCAGTGTGGAAAGAGTTTCAGTCGTAAATGCGTTCTCAATGATCATCTGCGCCGTCACTCTGGAGTGAGATCATTCAGCTGTGATCAGTGTGATAAAACATTTGTTTTTGAATCAAGCTTAAGAAAACACCTTAAAGTTCATACTGGTGTGAAGCCTCACTTTTGTTCTCTATGTGGAAAGAGTTTTTCACGACTACAAACTTTAAAAGGGCATGAGCGTATTCATACTGGTGTGAAACCTTATGTGTGCTCTGACTGTGGAAAGAGCTTCATTTCATCCAGCAACTTAAAAACACACCAGAGAGTTCATACTGGCGAGAAACCGTACAAGTGTTCACACTGTGGAAAGAGTTTTGCTTTTTTAGGAAACCTGAAAGGTCATGAGAGAGTTCATACTGGAGAGAAGCCGTACCAGTGCTCTTCATGTGGGAAGAGTTTCACTGAATCATCTAATCTACGGTATCATGAGAAAAAGCATTGCCTGAAGTCGTCTAAGTGAGCAAAGTTCACCTTCACGTCCATGATTTACAAATATTTTACTTACAAATAAATTGACATTCATATTGTTTTAATAGAGTGATTAAATCTACGGGTTAAATTAGTAGTGAAGTTTAAATCTGGTGATAGTTTGGTGTTTCCCTTCTTTTCTCAGCCACTGTAACATGATTTATAATAAAATGATTCAACTTTACTAAACTTCAAACACTTGGTTTGCATTAAAAGATTTTTCTGATGAAAAGTTTTTCTGGTGAACTGGTGAGATTATTTTTTTTCTGTTTTTTTTGTTTGTTTATCCGGGTTTATCTTTTGCAAAGTCACATCACAAAATGTTTTTTGTTTAAATATGTTTTGCAGTAGGTGATGTCATCAGATCATTGAATAAAATAAATAATCATAAAACAATATTACGGTGTTGTATTAGGCTGTAAATACATCCAATCTGTTCTGAAGGACAATAGATCTTATTCAGAGCAGTGCTGTGACAGGTATGAAAGCGAGGCTGTGAGCGAAAGACTTTATTCTTGAGTCTAATGTGAATTAGACGCGCTCATGGAGAGAGTGTCAACATCTATAGCATGATGGGGTTGGAAATCACTCTCATCCACTGGTGTGTTCTCAGTATGTGGGGTCGACACTGGGGGTTGTAAAGACTGAAGAAGACATTTCATCTCCATCGTTTCTGAAGAGGGAGAAGCTACAGTCTTCGATAACAAGTGTTCTGAAGTGTCGTTCTGTAGTACAGATTTCTTCTTGCTCGACGGAGCGCCAGCAGCTGCTGACGCGCGCCGCTTTTGAGTGCGTCGCGGCTGTTGTGCGAGGCTAACAGGCGAGTAAATGTCTAACTCATCAAGGCGAAGCTGTCTCTCTGACATCGGTAGCATACTACAATGCAAACGCGGATCAGTCAGGGCCTCCTTCAGATGCTGAGCGCCTAAACATGATGGGCATCGATCGTGTCCGTCGTCGGGAAGAAGCGTATTCGGACACAACTTGCGATTTGAAACGGAGATGTGAGAGATATGATCCATGACTCCGTCAATAACACGTCCTGGGTTAGCACCGTAGGCCCTTAAAACTGTAATGACACCCACTGAGCAGTTCGAAGAAATCTTCGGATAGAACCGAAAATTCTATAACATGAAACGCTCTCACAAGTAACGTAAAAGTCAAGTCTACCTTCGGATACCGCGAGGCTTTCAATGACTAGCACAATGGCGAGTATGCAATGAATCTAAGATATGATAACATAAATATATATATATATATATATATATATATATATATATATATATATATAATATACATTTATATAAAACAGATACAACGTTATAGTTTTGCGCTGAACGCAACCTAAGCGCGGTTAAAACCAGCCACCGGATAGTACCGTTAAGCACAGAGTATCGCCGACACAACAACAAATAATCGTATACAGAAATATTCCAAGATATCCGTCCTGATGATAGTGTAGAGCGCGCTGTCACAGCTTGGGAGGGCGAATCCTCACAACTCAGGTAAGCTGCACGGGACAGCGTGAAAAACAACGACCTATCAAAGGCGAGAAAGCGAAAGAGGCTGGGCACCGAGTCGCTGTGGTTCATATCCTCGCGTCAGACTGATCTCATGAAATGGCGTATGTATGACACGCCAATTCGTATTTCCATTTTTGGCGTGCTATCAACACGCATAATCGCTTTTCAGCGTGTTTATCAACGCCTTTGACGTTACATTACTGTATTATGTATATAAATATATGACCTACCCCAACCCCGTCCCTAAACCTACCCGTCACAGTGGTTAATACCATTTATGAGTCTTAAATGTAGATGTAGATATAGATTTTGCTTCGTTTCGCTCGGACATTTAACGGCGTACACATATACGCGTAATCACTCGGACATTTAATGGCGTAGACAAAAGATGACGGTTCGTTTCGGCATGGACATACACGCGGATAGCTCAAAATGCGTATAGATAACACGCCACTTGACTTGAAAGTGGCGTGTATGTTTACGCAAAGTCATGATGTCATGTTGCTCGCCTCTTGGTCTGCGTCATGACGTGACTTTGTTGTTATATTCTTCTCAATCTATCTAGCTGGTGCAGCGATTGTCCACTAGTGCTTTGCACTGCCTCTGGCGGTCAGTAGGAATGAAACAGAACCTTTGTAGTGTGTAAGGGCATGATTAAACAATAACTACTGTAGTTTAAAAGTGTTGAAATTGAACTTTCACAGGCTGAAACGGATGATGACGGACAACGGACAACTGGCCAAAGAGCCTTTAGGCCTCGTTTACACTGCAGGTCTTGATGCCCAATTCTGATTTGTTGCCTATATCCGATTTTTTGGACCATCCGTTTACACGTTCTTTAAATTGTGACCCATATCCGAGTCATGTGTTTACACTTGACTGAAACATCGCGCATGTTTAAAAGGGGCCTTCTTGCACAGATGGACGAACGCGCAGCGCGATCTCAGGACTGGTGGGAAGGGAACATACAACACGATCTCATGAAATTGAATATAGCACGAATTTTATTTCTCGTACCATTTATAGGCTAAAAATAGATTTTGCTTGCATATGATACGCACTGTAAACGTGCGTATTAAACGCCATAAAGTGCGTATCATGCACGAAAAAAATTATTTGGGGCGTAAATGGCACGTGAAAAAAAAAAAGTGCAATATACGCACATTCATGAGATTGTGGCGGGCTTTAACGAGGCACAGTGGGTCTGAAATTTTAGGATGTGTAATGTTTGCTCACTGGCTAAATCATATTTTACATATAATAACTGGACCAGACACGGACCACTCGAACTGTGCGCTTTTATTATTATTCCACCACCTTCGACACATAGTCTCGCAAGACTTCCCCGAGGGCTACGGTGTCCCTTTTTGGACATACAGTCAGGATGTTACATCTCCCTTCTTAAGAAACAAATGGCATTACCTAAACACACGCAACATTAATTGCATGACATAGCAATTGTGCTTAATGCATATATAAGCAGTCTGACAAGTACAGTCTGTGGTCATCATTAGTGTCATTGCTGAAATGTAAACAAGTACGGGCAGCATTTAAATGACATAAGACGTGGATGTAGATAAGACATTAGTTTCCTAGTCAGAAACAATGTTTTGATTTTTTGTATGATTTAAGTAACCTGAAGGTGAACTAGTTGTGAAAAGACAGAACAGTCAGCCAAACTGATTTCACAGTGTTTCCGAGGTATCGGGTAAGTAACAGGTTTGTAAACCTCTCGTTTTCTCTTTTTTTTCTTTCTTTTTTTTTTTTTTTAGGACAGCGATCCGCCTACACCCTTTGCATTATAAGTCAAGGACTTGTCTTGGCCTGGAGATGCGGCCAAACCTTGTTGTGTAATTGGGCTTTTGTTGGTTTATTGGTTGCGGGTGGTCCGCAGGTTCAGATTGTGGTGGCTGTGTGTTATTGGTGTGTGTTTCTGCATGCTGTGTGTCTTTAGTGTCTGGAGCATCTCTGCTTTCGAGGAGGTGCCAACGGTTGCGTCGTAGAGTTTGTCCATCTTCTGTCTGGATGTGGTAGCTCCTCTGTGTGTGTGCATGTTGTGTTACCGTTGCAGGTCTCCAGGAACCATCCTCCTGACGGAAGCGAATAGGTGTGCCAGCAGGTAGGTGAGACAATGGCTTGGTGCCTCTGTTGAAGTATGCTTGTTGGCGGTGTTGGCACGCCTTCCGTCTGTCTTGGATATCTTTCTGAGGTGCTACCTGTGGCTGCAGATGCCTACTGGTCGCTGGAAGTATGGAACGTAGTCGTCGGCTCATTAGAAGCTGGGCCGGTGACTGGAGGTTGTCCACTGGAGTGTTCCTGTACTCCAGCCGGTCTGTGTTTCCAGCTTTTGCCTTGTCCAGGATGCGCTTTGCTTTCTGGACAGTCTTTTCAGCAAGGCCGTTGCTCTGTGGGTAGCGTGGACTTGTGGTGGTGTGGGTGAAGTTCCACGCGTTTGCGAAGCAGCGAAACTCCTCAGAGCTGTAGCATGGTCCGTTGTCGCTGATGACTGTCTCTGCGATGCCGTGACGGGCGAACGCGGACTTGAGTTTGGCGATTACTGCAAGTGAGGTGCAGCTCGTGAGTTGCTCCATTTCAAAGAATCTACTGTAGTAGTCTACAATGACGATGAAGTTTTGAGTGTTCCATGTGAAGAGGTCTGTGCCTACCACTTGCCATGGTCTCTCGGGTATGTCATGTGACCACTGGGGTTCTTTGTGGTTAGCATCACGTCGTTCCTGGCATATACAACACTGTTCTACTATTGCTTCTATTTGTTTTCCCATTCCGGGCCAAAACAGGAGGTTTCGTGCTCTATGCTTGCTTTTCTCCACACCCATGTGTCCTGCGTGTATGCGCTGGAGCATGTCTCTTCTGAGGCTCTGGGGAACTATGATTTTCTCACCTTTGAAAAGTATTCCTTCCATCTCAGAAATCTCATCTCGGTGGTTCCAATATTCCTGGATGCCGAGCGGGCATTTCCTGTGTAGGGTTAGACGGTGGATGATGTGAATGTTATATTTCTGAAGCTGTAGTATCATCCTCTGTAGCCGCGGTGGTGCTGCGGCCAGCGGTTTTCGGAGGATTGCTTCCAGAGGTTTGTGGTCAGATTCTACAATCACACTCCGGCCAGACATGTATTCGTGAAAACGCTTACAGCCGAATAAAACTGCATACAGTTCCTTTTCTATTTGGGCGTAGTTCACTTCGGTGCTGTTGAGTGACTTGAAAGCATAGGCGATGGGTTTTCCGTCTTGGAGCATGACAGCGCCGAGGCCGCATTTTGAGGCATCTACTTGGAGTCTGAGTTCTTTTTATGGGTCAAAGTACGCGAGCACAGGGTGATCTGTTATCAATTTTTTTGTCTGCGTGAATGCTTTGTCGTGGTTTTTGTCCCATAAAAATTCACTGTCCTGCTTCGGCAGTTGGCGTAGTGGTGCGTTTATCTCGGAGAGGCGTGGTGCGAATCTGGCCAAATAGTTAATCATCCCGAGGATGGTTTCCAACTCCCCTCTGCTTGTGGGTGGCTGCATTTCTCGTATCGCTTTCACCTTCGCCGGGTCTGGCTTGACGCCTTCTCGCGAGAGCGTGTGACCGAAGTAGCTGACCTCTGATACACTTATTTGGCATTTGTCGGGATTTAGCTTTACCCCTCTTTCTCTTGTGCGCTTCAGCATGGC